TTTTTTATAGTGTCAAAATATATTGTGACTGTCCTTGCCACTAAATGTAAATCTCACTTAGAGTACTGGCAATTATCAATGCTTTATTATGGCTGATGGAAATCTTGACTGATTTGAAGATTAATAAGTAAATTAAATTTTTTTATAGTGTCAAAATATATTGTGATTGTCCTTGCCACTAAATGTAAATCTCACTTAGAGTATTGGCAGATTATCAATATTTTATTATGGCTGTCAAAACAGCAAATGAACCCAAGGTCAATCAGTCTTTACATTCTGCAGTGATAAAAGAGGAAGCAGATCCACCTTTACAATCCACAGTGACAAGAGAGGAAGCTAGCTGGTGGAATTTGGAACTATTTCTTTTCATCGTTCAGTTTGTAACAAGCAATACTACCTTGAAAGCCCGGGCTTCAGAGTTTCTGTTAGCAACAGTCTGCGCCAACAAACTTTGCCACCCCATTGGATCTTCTTTATAGGAGAGCTGACCTGCTCTGAGTTTAACATACAAAACTCCATCCTTGGAAAGGATGGACCTGAAATAAAAAAGAATGAATTTAATATGAGGTATTATTGGCACTGCTTGGCTGGAAACAGTGTTTTCCAATACCATGTTCTCAGGAGATGAAGTTTTTACCGCTTTCCTCCAAGGTATATGATCATTTATTATGTCTAAACTTAAATCAATCCCTATGAGAAAGACTAAAATAAAGTTCTGCCTTCCTTTGGTGTCTAGATTCATGGAACTTGTTAAATGAGAAAACATTTTGACTATCTGCTCAAGTATGAGCTTCAAAAGTAATAGTATTTTATCTAACGCCTCTTTGTATTCCCTGTATCCCCTTAGCATTATGCATAGGACATTGGAAGTACTAAATATCTATTAACTGATTTGCAGCAGAAAGACAATAATGCTGCAAATCTAAAGACAGAACAACACAGAAAACAGCTAATATATAAATAATTTGGGAAAATATAAATTAGAACCAAACTATAAAAACTCTTACATGCTTGTTAAACTTTCTGTAAATTTAAAGACTTAATTTACACACTACCTAAGGTATAAAATTATTCATACTCTAAAATAATTACTTGCATATGACTATTTCCACCCAAAAGCAATCTACTATAATCTTGAATTTATGAGAACACTCTAACATGAGAATGGTAAAGAGACGCAACAGAAGATGTGGTCTGACAAGCATCGATGGTGATAATAAAGTTCCTTTTCAGGACACATATATCAGCCTATTTTCTTAAACTAAATATCACATTATTGTACCAACAGACATATCCAATACTGTCCTAAGTTTACTCAGTTCAAGTTTCTCAATGAATTAATACTTAGGGTTTTATTTCTAAATTAAAACTTTCACTTTCTAATACAAACCCTGTTTCAAACATGTAGACTACTTTATTTAATACCTACTCTACATGTTGTCTTAGATGAGATCAAAGGGTGACAAATCACGTTCTGGATAATATTCTATAATTTATACCTTCCCACATACTTCTATTCACTTCCTAAAAGGTAAATTCGAGAAATTCAATATACTTACTTCAAGTGTTGCATTCCCTTGCTTAAATCTATGAGCAGTTCCCAGTATCTTGGGCCTTTAACTTTAATCTGGCAAGATAAACGTAAACACAGTCAACCCAAAGCTGAAAAAAGTGCTAGTTTGACAAGCTGAAACCCATGCTTCTCAGAAGAAATAGTAACCGAGCTGGAAAGAGACATTGAGAGGTTAACAGGCTCCATTTCCAGACAAAAACATGTACGTGAACCAAGTTCTGAGGCCATCTATCAGTAACGATCCCTAAGACAAGACCTTCTCTATTCTTCACAACTATTTGTCCCGCTGCTGCTTTCCTATTTTAAAACATGGCAAAAACAGACACTTTCATGTAGCTATCTTTAATGCTATGTTGCTCTGTTTAAATTTATCCCTTGGAGAGATCTCCCTAAGTCACGCCCAACTTACTTGCTTTAAAAGGTGGAGTTCTGGAAGAAGGGTAGGAGCCATCAATTCTTCTTTGGTTTGTTCATACCACTGAGTGCCCTTTACAAATGTAAAAGCACAGCCATAGTTGATCAGGCAGTCAGCAGAAACAACAAAGAAGAAACATCCCGCTCTACACCTCCCTCTTCCCCACAGTTGTTATACAGAGACTGTCAAATGGCATAAAATCTTCTCTGGTACTCAAATCTCAAGGGACTGAACTGTAAATTCCTTTGCAGGGCATGTATCGCTTCCCACCACTTCAAGCCTTGCTCTTCACAGGCCAGCAGTCCTGAAGTGCTGCACTTCCGATGCCTCTGGAGTGTTGGACCTACTGTCTTCTCTACTGGGAATGAGCCACACTCAGCTGGCAAGTCTTAGCCCAAACACTGTCCACTGTGACAGCCTCCCCTATCCCCACAGCTGAACAAGGGCACTTCTCCGCTGCTCCCTCTGTGTTCCACACATACCTTATCACACTCTATCTCGCTGCAGCCATGCCCAGCTCCCCAATGAATAGAAGTTCCTTAAGGAATATGACAATGTCATCTTGTTTTTATACCCCAGTTTGATACACAGTAAGTACTTAATAATTTGCTGAATGAAGGAAGGATATATGACTTCTAATCTATTTGTGTACCTAAATGAAAGCTCTCTCACCAAATACACAATTTTGGGTTTTAAAGTACTCAGCTAACAAATCTAAGAATAGTTCCAACTCAGATTTTTAGAACACTACTATCAGCCATGTAAAATTAACAGGGACATTTTCAAACTATAAGCTCTAAGGACAAAAGAGCAGCTGATGATCCCTGAAAGACTATACCCATAGAATATAAATGAGCATGAATGGCCTGGCAGAATGTACAAGAACTTTGGAAGCTTCGATTTTTATGAGAGTTCAACTCATTACTATCACCTTTTACTGGACAATACTGAAATTTTATGACCTGCAAAGATGGATGAGTGGGTAATAATATTGCAAATAAATTACAGGGAGAAAGAGTTACCTTGTAGGTAACTTCTAAGAGAGCATAGCAGGGCATGTTTGTGTCCACATCCACAGGCACTAGAAGCCTTGGTTCTGCAGCTAGCACGTAGAGATGCCGGAGAGCCTGGAGATGATACCTGGTCACAGAAAAGATGGAGAGGAGGTAACAAACAGGTGCAACAGCACGAGCTCCACCATGTGCCATTGCCTACAAGCTGAAAGAGGACAGAGCTGGAGTATATCTTCAAATGAACAGTGATCTTACAGGCAGATGGTGAGATCCAATTTAAAAGTAATGAAGAAACTCTCTTTAAAAATTATACATAAGTGATCCTTTTTATTCCCTTTTTTTTTTTTTAGAGATGAGGTCTCTTGCTGTCGCTCAGGCTGGAGTGCAGTGGTGTGATCACAGCTCACTGCAACCTCAAACGCCTAAGTTCAAGTGATCCTCCTGCCTCAGCCTCCCGAACAGCTGGGACTATAGGCACGCACCACCATACCTGGGTAGTTTTATGATTATTATTATTTTG